CTGTCTACGCTAGTCGTCCCTAATTTTGAAGTGACGAACTAGAGGGAAGGAAGCTAGTCAACACTACCCACCACTACACTTTACAAACAAATAGTGGAATTGACCGTCACATTATAACGTCCCCCATAGATGAAAAGGCATGTTCGGTGACGGGATTCTAACCCGTGATCCGCAGATTGTGAGTCGAGTGCCCTAACCACTAGGCCATTCCAGATCGTGCTCTTCGGAAAGGAAGGTCACATATACCTTAAATCACCATTGAAGTTTTAAAAGCCTTTTACAGACCCAGTCAGCGTGCTTATCTTTTATAAGCAGCGCAGAAGCTGGTCCATCACGTGACCGTAGTTCTAGAGCCATCTCGACACTTGCTGGGGAACGATAGTTAATTTACATGCGCTTTTAAAATAATCTATACAATACCTTCTATATTTTACACGTTTTTGTTTATTTAACAATATCATTTATTATTCAAAACAAAACATTCTTCAGAGTCCTATTTATTATTTTGTACATTTTTAGAATTAGATCTGATGTTATGTGCAAGACGGGTGCAAAGGTTAGTGTTACTTCCGTCGCTAAAAACAATTAATTACTTCTTTTTCTTCACTGTTGTTGTTGTTTGTAATTAAGCACAAAGCTACACAATGGGCTATCTGTGTTCTGCCCACCACGGGCATCGAAACCGGATTCTAGCGTTGTAAGTTCGCAGACATACCGCTGTGTCACTGGGGTGGGGGGGGGGGGCTTTATATCACTAAATGATATCAGTAACTATTTGTTCCACTAATACATGTGCTTAACTGTAACTGCACCAGAGGGCTCTAATCTTTTAATTATTGTAAAATTATTTTCTGAAACCATATATTTTAAACTATTTGAAGGCAGTCCTTTTCACATTTGAATTACTCTGAAAATGGCTCGAGTCACGCGAGCCATAAACAAAAGAATGACATTCGCAACGTGACCTCTTCCGGGCGGACAACTAGAGGTGAAGGCAAGGGATCAAGATTGCACCGCTTTCCGCTTGAGGTAATCCCACTGAATGAGAAGGGGAGGCAGGCAGTCCTTTAGGAGAATATATCATTTGTTTTATTAAATCCTTCAAAACTAACATTTTTCATGCTTTATAAGGGTACTTTTAACATTGGTTTCACTACGTTTATCTTTACTTTTAAAAAATAATGGTAAATTTCCAATGAATATTTTAAAATCATTAATTTATGTAACTTTTCAATGAAGTTTTGCAATAAAATTTCCATCAACAGACCAGAGTAGATGAGATAAATTTCCCCATACTTGGAAAGATATTTAAAAGATCATATGAAATTATACTAAACAGTTTACTATCTCTATATGGCTTTCATATGTTACTTTGTAGTTCAGGCCCGGCATGTCCAGGTGGACTCGCAATCTGAGGGTGGCGGGTTCGAATCCGCGTCACACCAAACATGCTCGCCCTTTCAGCCGTAGGGGCGTTATAAGGT